TTTAGAAGCTTTGCAATTCATGGAATTCTAATAAAGTAACATTCCTGAAAGACAGAATGTGGATGCCATGCTGCTGCCCTCATCTGACATTTGAAATCCCAGAGAACGCTGGTGATTTATTTAGAGGTTTCCTGGTTTAAAAAAAAAAAAAAAGGTGATTGCCTCTTTAGCTCTCTAATTTAAGGGAGAGATATTATGCCATCCTGCGACTTTACTTTAGTCTAATTTCACTGAATGGTACGGTGTGCTCATCAGATCCTGGGCAGGATCTGTGGATACCAGCAAATTAAACATCTCTATTTACAGGGATGGCAGACAGAAGGGCAAGTGGCCAGCAACTCATGGTGCTGTTTTTAGCAGTTCTTATCTGGATAAAATTGCTTCTCTCCCCTTAGATGTAAAATGCAGAGGTTACTGCATTATATTATACCTAAGGGTGGAAAACTGAAAAATTTTCCATCAAGAACTACAAATCAGTAAATCTTACAATCTTACTACTGGTGCTAAAATAGAGCTAAACCATCTTAAGCTGGGCAGTATTCCTGAGGCTCTCTGAAGCATGCTCACTGTTTCTTTGAGTAAAATTGAGGGCTGACCTGGTCCATTTACAGGAACACAGAGGCAAGGCTCATAAATGGTATTCTGTACCAAGTTCTTTGGAGCAGCACTGTTTCACCCAGGCCTGTAAATGTTCAGTGCATGATTTAACTAAGTGGAGAAAAGAAGGTCTTTGCTGGGCACTCCAGCTTTTCCAGTGAACCAAAGGCTCCTTGATGTTACAAAAGTGTGCTGACTAATTACCTGTCTTATATCTATTTCTTAGAAGGCAAATATTTAGTAACTAACAAATCTACATTTTGTATAAAGCACTACTAAATGGTCTGCAAACAGAATTGGGCTCTGTCTTTTAAGAAGTCACTGGTTTTGTCACTGTATTTTGTATACCTCTTATGCAGAGTTAGTTAATGATATGAACAAGTAGACATTTAACACGTGATTCTTGATGTTAGAGATTAAGAATGATAATATCCAGTGCACAACAGTAATTTACTGCACACATGGCACTCAGCTAAGCATTTTGTATACATCATCTCTTCTAATCCTCTCAACAGCCCAGCAAATGCACTACTCTTACAGATCTTACAGATAAAGAAACTAAGACTGAAAGAAGGTAACCTACTTGCTAAAGGATGTGTCGCTAAAAAGTGGAGGAGTCGGGATTTACTCCCAGGTTGTCAAACACTAGAGTCACGGAAGGGACCCTGGTGAGCCCTTTGTTCAGCACTTTCCCTCACAGGTGAGGCTCTGAACCAGCCAGAGCCTGCTGAAATGAACAGTCTTGTCTAGCATATCTCCACTGGTCCAGGTAGAGCCAAGAAGCCATCTGTGGATTCCTGCCAACACTTTTTCCATTAGACCCTTGGGGACATCTCCTACCACCCCACCAGGCTTGTTCAGATCCTCGTGCTTAACAAATGTAACTACATATGGGGAACATATTTATGGGGCACATATCCTATGTGCTTAACAAATGTAACTACATATGGGGAACATATTTATGGGGCACATATCCTATGTGCTTAACAAATGTAACTACATATGGGGAACGTGAGGATAAGACCTCATGAGAAATGCCTACAGGGGATCCTGGAGATTGCAGAGTAGACCACGTGACACAAGTGGGAGATACAGAAATAGTTTAACAAATAAATGTAAACGAAGGCCAGGAATTGGAAGACAGAGTTAGCTGAGACCGAGCGGACAGCCAGGAGGCCCCATTCCCTACGTGGCACTGACCCAAAATGCACACCCAGCAGGACAGTATGAGAGAGCAGCTAACTGACATCACATTTGTGATTCTCCTTGAAATATCAAGATTAATTTATATTTAGAACTTTCCCCAAAAATGAAATGAAGCAAGTTAGCTGTTCTTCAGACAGTAGGGTGACTTTGATGTTAGAATTACTGAGTTTGGAGGTTTTAAAATACCTATAACATCAGGCATCATTACAGTGGGAATTATTGTGGTTGTGGTTTTTGCATTGTTATACCCAAGGCCCTTTTGGTGTTTCTAGAAAGCTGAACCACTCTAGTAGCCAGGGGAATTTAAGGAGACCCATGTTGGAGCTTCAGAGTCACATCTTGGGTAACAGGAGAGTTCCGCAGAGTTGAGGCCTCAGACTGGGCCTTGTTATTTTTCAGTTTTCACGTAGCAGTGAGCTCCCCACGTACCCATGAAGAAAAGGGACGCCTTGGGTTTTGGTGGGAAGGTAGGGGATGGTGAGAGGAGTCATGCTCAACACTGTCAGTGTGTGACAAGGGATAGCAGCGTGGGGGAGTGGGAAGAGAGAAGATGCAGGTTCAAGTTTCACCCCTCTTCCTGTTAGCTTTGTGACCTTCAGTGTGTCCCTAACACTCCCTGGGCCTCAGTCTCCTCGTCCGTAAAATTGGGATGATTAATTGGGAGTAAAAGCTAAGTGATTGAAATAGGGCACCTTGAAAGGGCTCTATAAGTGAAAGAGTAATTACCGTTCCTCTCTCGACATGACTTTTCTACTTCGACATGTGGCATTTCTTCTGTTGGCTCAGCCCTGGTTCTCCTCGCATGCCCTGCAAATGGGTCCAAAAAGCGTGTGCTGGCTGTTCACACTGCGAGCTGGACCTCGGGAACCTTCACAGTCTGCTGCTTCTGATGCTCCAGGCATGGCCCTCATGGAAACATTAATCCTCAGGCCTTTTCTTTACAGAAAAGCTAAAGAAAACACCAGAGGACACTGTGAATCCCTGCGGGAGTCTGAGCACTCTTTCAGCTTCCTTGGGTTTGCGCCCGTGGCCCGGACTCAACGTGCCACGTCAAGCTGGCTCTGACTCTGCCCACAGCCAGTCCTGACGGAGTTCCCTGCCCATCTGCAGTGGGTGTCAACTCCTGGCCTGCGCTCATAAGTACAATTAAGAATCATCTTTTTAAAAGCAACTTGTTAAAGGCAAAGGAGGATTTGGATCTCATCATATAAAACAATTTTAAGCAATAAACGAGTGGTGCTTTGATTCATGAATTTGTCATTTTAAAGCATTTACCATTCTGAACTAAGAGAAATTCCTTTACATGTCACAAAAACCGTATCCAGTGAAGCTTTGAATCTTACAGTATTCATAAATTTTTATGGTGAAAGTCTTATAAACCTATAATATGTTTGAATATCCTCTTTAATGAAAGTTAATAAATTGACTTCTATTTCACTGTATCAGAAGGCCTTGAAATAGAGGTTTACACAGCAGAATTGGGGGTGGGGGTAGGCCTGCCGGTTCATTTTTGAAGCACCAGTTATGAGTAAACATTGGAGTTCCCATCACAGTAGGGAAGCAAAAACATAAAAAGGGGTTGCCTTTCGACTACCTTTTTAAATTTCTCTTTGTCTGACAACTCAAATTCCAGTTGTGGATTGAATAGACTGACTCTTAATTTCTCAATGCTTTCTCTAGCATCTTTTCATTATAATCGGAACAACTGTCATGTCAGTATAAACATAAATGAAAGCATCTTTGAAAAGGTGCTGCTCTTGGTGAATGAGCAAGAGGTATCAGCTGCTCCCTTCCTTTCCTTCCTGGCTCGAACCCGCCTTGCCCACCCACCCTTCCCACTTGGGCCAATGGCGCCAGAACATCTGGCCCCCTGAGTCAGTCATGTCACAACCTCGCGGGCAGTGTTGGGTGCCATTGTCTGGCTATAATGTATCCCTTCAGAAGTCATAAGGGGATGCTGTTGATTTAGGTCCATACATTTATTGAGTAGTTAGTGTGTTCAGTCCCGTATCAGGCACTGGGAGCAGGGAGAAGTATCAGAGATGGCCCCCTGCCATTTTAGCGCTTTTGTTCCTAGCAGGAGAAAGAAGAAGAGGTGTGCCCAGATGGCTAAGCTGTCTGGCAGGACATGGTGACTATTTAAAGAGGACAAGCAAACCGATGGTGCTAAAAGCTAAAGAAATTGAATTGGGAGGCCATCCTTCCACTGGGGGTGGGCACGCATTGGAAGAGTAAGACTTTCGGTTGATGTAGGTGATGGGAGAGGGCCTTTCAGGGCAAATTAACAGGGTTGGCAGAGCCATAGAAGTGAGAAGATACAGACTTTTTGGTCCACGTGCTTAAAAGTGAACATGCTATCTACCAGTGATGCTTCTGCCTTGTGGGGAATATTGAAATTCTTTCATTAGATTTCAGTGGCTGGTTCCTTGAGATCAAGGACTATATATTTTCTTCTTTTATTACTCCAGACGATGCCTGGGAGAATGTTTTTATGTAGTAGTTGAAATGCTTGTATCATCACACACTATATTTTTGATCTGTTTGCAGCCCCAAGAAACCCTTTTCAGTAACAATTTATACAGTCCTTCATATGACCTTTAAATATTAGGCCTGCGTTTTTGTCTGCCTGCCAGATATTGATCAGTATGACAGCTCCACTCTAGCTCTAGGGTCTGTCTGCCCCACGGGTGCCTGTGTGTTCCAGTCGGGCGCAATTCTGACTGTCAGGAGTGGTGCAGGAGGCAGCAGGTCAGAGGGAGGAAAGGGAGGACCCAAGGGCTGGTCAGGAGAAGCCAACCAGCATAGTTGGTCGGGAAGTTAGTAGAGGTGGTGACAAGTTATATCTGGGCACAAAAAGAAAACAAAACAAAACAGCCCTTGAGACATTATGTAAGTTTCAATGATGCAAATTATGGAACACAGTAGAAGAAAAAATAAAAGTGGGAGGATTGTCAAGAAGCTTCAAAATAAGGCAAATGAGGTGCATGGAATGAACCACTTAAAGTATTTACTTGATGTTGAAATTTAGTATTGACAGCTGAAGTTGAAATGTTTGTTGTATTTCTGTTTTGTGTTAAAATAAAGATGACATCAAAGCCACGGTTTTGTTCCCTTGGAATCCTAAGAAAAAGTGCCTTGATAAATGTCAGAACGATGGACAGACAGTGTTTGATTTGTCCTTTTGTTCTTCACTGCAGGAAATACCAGAAACAGCCCACCGCCCTACGGGTTTCGTCTCTCTCCAGAAGAAGAAATGAGGAGACAGCGGCTTCACAGATTCGATGGCCAGTGAGGTGGCACGGTGTCTGGGGAAGACGTGGTCCAGTCGTGTAATTATTGCCCATTTGGTTCCCCAGGCACATAGTTTGTTTTAAACAAAAGCAGAGTACACCGTTACCGTTCCAGACTGCTCACATCTGCCTCGAACACCATCCTGTGTCCCTGTGAGTCTAGATGCACAAGCCAGACGACTCGTTCTGGAGCGGGGTTTTCTGAAGGCAGCTCACAGCTTTCTGGGAGCAGCCCTTCCCCTGGCCTCCTCCTCTCTCCCAGACAGTTCACTTCCCCGACGTAGGGACGGGTTTCCACACTCTCTTCTCTCACCGCTGGCTCGGCAGTGCCTCTGCTTTGTTTTCCTTTTGAAGACCGTGACCTTCACCAGGAGGTTTATTTTTGTGTGTGTGTGTGTGTGTGTGTTCCAAGAAAACTTTATTTATGAGCACTGAAATTTGAATTTCATATAATTTTATATAATGTCATAAAACATTATTCTTCCTTTGATTCTTTCCCCCCCCCAACCATTTAAAAATGAAAATACCATTCTAAGCTCGTGGGTCATACAAAAACAAGTGGTAGGCCAGGTTTGGCCCACAAGCCATGTTTTGCTGACTCCTGGCTTAATTCAAATATGAATCTCTTCATGTGGATCAGGCTTTGAACTATTATCTGTCACCAGAATTTCCTTGTGAAAGAAAAATCTATTTCACCAGCCGGGAAGCTCAGTCCCACGTTCTGCCTGGAGTGCCTCATGTTTGACTTGGCAGGAGGTGAGGACCGTCCCCTCGTCCTCCTGGCATGTTGCCATGGTGGCTGTCCAGGAACAAGATGTGGCCACCCTGCAGTATGCTGTTCTGTCCCTCCTCACCCAGGTGCCTCAGCTGCTCGGGCCCCTGCATCTGGGTGCTGTTTACAGCACACTGCTCTTGTACTGCCCCGCCTTTATATTTTAATATTAATAGAATGTTTTACTGAAAAAGTGTAAGAAAGGTGGGGAAGACACCTGCACACTGCATTAGATATCAGGTGGTACCAGCAATTTAGGTTCATAGTCACCCCTCCAGTGGCAATATGTGCACCCAGGAGATGGAGCTTGTCATTTAACTAATCAGCAAAGTAGCCACAGGTGCCATCTGCAGAGTAGAGCAAAGGCATATTCAGTGGATTGGTCACTAGAAATTTTTCTTGCAGAAAGTATTTTTTTTCCTCATAAAAGTGCCTCTTAATTGGCCACCATAACAGCCACCTTTCCTGGCCAAGTGTTCAAAACATGCCGTGGGTCTGGCAATGTTATAATCCACGTATTGTCTGTCCAAGTCATTTGGGGCGTTTCCTGGTGCTTTTGTTTCATGAATAAAAGGACAAAGTCAAAACATGACTGATACCTTGTCACAGAGATATTTATTTTTAAAGAGATTTAGAAACAGAAAAAAAATCTTTCTTTTAAAATTTATCTACCATTTACATACAGTTTTCTGATTATGAAAGCAATAGATATGCCTTCTGTATGCATAAAGCCAACATCTGGAAGGAAATACACCCAGATGTTAACAGAGGTTATCTTTGAGGGTAGAGTACATGGGATTTTGCTTTCTGCTTTTTTAAAATTTTATAATGCTGTCTTTGAAAAATGTATGTGTGTCTGTGTACTACTTTTGCAATCAGAAAAACTTTATAATAAACCAAGAAATATATAATCAGGAAAACAGATTTAAGTACTGTGTCACCTGGTGCAGTGGTGTGTACCTGTAGTTCCAACTACTTGGGAGACTGAGGAGAGAGGATCACTTGAGCTTAGGAGTTTGAGGCTAGCCTGGGCAACATAGCAAGACCCCATATCTTTAAAAAAAGTACTGTGTGTCCATTGGGAAAATTCACAATATAAACAGAAATATAAATAATTACATACACAATTTTAAAATCACCTGTATTCCCACCACTTAGAAGTACCCAGGGTTAACATTTTGGGAGTATTGCCTTCACAATTTTCTCTGTATACATTTGACAAATTTGAAGCATAGTGACTGTGCAATTTTGTATCCAGTTCCTAATCTGAATTTACCTGGGAGAAACCTTGACACTTGTACGTAAATGAGCTAAGAAAACCACTGGAGTCCTAGGAACACTTTGACCTGGCTGACACAATGATACCTGAGCTCTTTGGTTAATTTCTAATTGATGTAAAACTACAGCTTGTTTATAATATAAAGTGTACCTGTGAGTCTGGTGCCTTTAAACGTGTTTAAATTAAAATATTCAAGCTAAATGTCCCTCCTCTCTCCCACACTCTCTATATAAATGTGACTCCCATTACTCCAATTAGAAGTAGCTTCTTTCTTACATGCCTTCATCTTTTTATAGCATCTGGTACTTCTGCTGTAACACTTATGTCTTGCCCTTATTATTATTTGTGTACAGCTACACAAAGATGTGCCTTCTACACGGGAGCATGGATCGGGAAGGGCCTGTAATGAGGCCTGTGTCTTATGTATCTTTCTACTCTCTCCCCGTCCCCCACTTCCACCACCCCGCGGTTGTGGTAGGGGCTCGTTAAATGTTCGTTTCCCACCAAAGTGTTTTCAATTTGCATTAAGAGTCCAATCACTGAATATGGGAATATTTTATGTTTTATATTGCTTGAGTCCATTAGTAGTATATCCTTGCTATATTTGACTTGTCAGATACGAAGACACTGGTATGAGATTTTGGATGGCGTAACTATTAATATTAATGTACTATGCACACCTTCTTTATGGAGTGGAACATCACTAAACTTTTAGTGATGTGGGAAAGGTCATTTTAGTTACAAATATAAACCAGTTATTTTAGCACAACAGTAAAGACATTCTGGACATTATTATAATTATTTTAAGTTAATAAATAGGCTTGCCTGTAACAATTGCTTATTGTTTTCAACGTCCGTTTCATTTTTTTTTCTCTACAATAAGGAATCCCCAAAGTTATGCCAACAAACGGGAATTAGGTTGAGAAAGACAGACAAAAGCAAGTGAGCAAGTGCATGAGACTAATTAACAGGGAATAAGCACTTACAGCTGATTTTTGAATTTGGTTTCTCTGTTGAATAGTAGCTTCCTGAGTGACTGTCAAGCACCCAATTCCCACAGTTTGGTGTGATCCGTCAGCTTAGGGCACCTCTTTATTCAGAATCTTTCCTCGGTTCTGAAGAGAAGGGAGGGGTTAAAATTGTTTCCTCTTATGACTTTGAATGTATTGCCTGTGATTCCAAAGTTGTACAGAATTGCTCAAAATGCCTCAATCCTTTAAAAATTGCTTGCTGGTGAAGCTCAGGCTAAGCTGTGAATAGCCAGTTTTAGTAGAATCGGGGCCAGTCTACATATTTGGCACATGTCCTGCTGCCTGGGGAGTGAGGAAGCTAAAAGGACAAGTGGCCTCACCGAAGTGGACTGTGGAGGGGGTGGGGCGGGGCAGGGTGGGCGCCAGGCCTGGTGTCCGTGTTCCCAGGCTTAGTTTTTCTTGAGAGATTCAGTATTCAAAACAGAATTGTATTCAGTTTGTCATAGAAAAACAAAACTATTATTTTTTCCTTTCCCTTCCCATGTATCATTGCAGTCATTTCCTAATTTTCTTTTCTCTCTCCTTTTTCTTTTTTTTGGCTCCTAGTAATTCATTTTGAAATCACAGACTCTCAGCTTAAAAGGACCTTAAAACCTTTCAATTCATTGCTCTGCTCAATACTAAAAATACCTCTTCACTCAGTTCCACGTGACTCTGCCAGGGTAGTCTTCCAAAATCCACTTTCATGATGTCACTCATCATCTCAAATACCTTTTATTGTCTCTCTGCTGCCAAAGGATAAAGGTCAAAGTCGTTAGCCTCAATAGTGGGGCTCCAACCAGCCTTTGGACCTCATCCTCATTTATCCATAACGGAGTCTGCTAATGGTCTCACTGCCCAGGCTGTGAGTTCCTGACCCTGTGACATTTTGTGCTGTGCTTTTACATGGAGGAGCCTTTTCCTCTCTCTGGGCTCATCCAGGAACTCCCCATCCTGCCCCTTGGCCGAAGCCTTTACCGGACAGCACAGCCCAGGGTGATCCCCTCCCCACCAGATCTACCAGTTTCCACGTGCTGCTTGGGGGAGTGCTGGTTGTCCTGCAATGAGAGAATGAACATCTTGTCTTTAGATTGTAAGCTTCATGAGGGCAAGGACCATAACTGTGTTTCTCTGTCTCTCCTCACAGTGCCTTGGGCAATGCTTTGTCTAGAATGTTGGAACCAATAAATACTTGTGGATTGAAACAGAGAGACGCTCATTTATACCATCACCAAAGATGCACATAAACACTTGCCTGTTCCTTATCGATATTATGTTAGTTTTTTTTTTTTTTTTTCTTGAATCGCGTCAAGGAAAGAACAATTTGAAGGAAAGCATTTGCTGGTAGACACAGAGACTTTGGGGCCTTTTCTAGTCTTCATGAGATGACATGCTAACTGATCAGAGGATGGGGAGATACCAACAAACCTTACATGCAGTCTGAAGACACGTCCCACTTCATTGACTGCTATGACCTAGAACACAAAACTCAAGATTCCAGCACAACTGAGAAGATATCACCAAGGAGTCTCTGTGAATAGTGCTAATCTGTCCATTGTGCTTTTTACCGGTCTGTGTTTGATATGTCTGGGCTAACATTTTTTACTTCTGTAGTATTTAGGGGCAGGGGGAGAATGATTTTGACATCTTGGTCAGATGGCAGAGATGAACTGGCAGATTTGGATACATGGTTTATACTTTATCAGGGAAAACTGAAACAGTGCTAAGAGAAATCATGAAATTTGGTGGTAATACATATTGCTTGGGAAGGGAGTAGTGTAATAAAATCAATAGTATTAGGTTATTAAGTATGTAATGTCCAATTTCCTTAAGTACTAAGTTTGACAGTCGATATCTCTGACATTTCACTTTGACACCTCTTGTTTTATTTTTATTATGAAGGTACATCTTCAGTCTGTCAAATGCACATTTTGGCTTGTGATTATCTTTTAAATTTTTTTACAGCAATTTTTGTGAAACCATGAATAAGTCAAAAATTTGTGTTATTTTCGAATATGAGTTTCATCGTGGAACCAGTGCAGCACAAACAGCCAGAAATTTCAATGAAGTGTTTGGGAAGGATGTGGCTAATGAACACATAGTACACCAATGGTTTGAAAAGTTCTGTTCTGGTGATTTTAATCTTGAAAATGAGCCATGTGGACAACCTGTGACCAAGGTGGATAATGATGAGCTGAAAGCTGTAGTGGAAGCAAATGCATCTCCACCTACCTGTAAATTAGCAGCAAGGTTTGACATTACTATTACAACAATATTGGACCATTTGAAACAAATCGTCAAGGTAAAGAAGCTGGATAGATGGGTTCTGCATGAATTAAACA